AACTAATTTCGCGGAGGCTCGTTTTAAGGGAACAATTTCGGTCCACTTACTAAAATGATCAACCATAACAAGGAGATAGCGACTTTTATTTAACTGACTTTTTGGGAAAGGGCCCAATAAATCGATGCCAATTATTTCATTTGGAAATTCGGATTTAATACTATTTAGAAACCCGGCCGGGCGGAAATTAATATAATTAACTGCTTGACATGTTGGGCAGGACTGGACATACGCCCTTGTTAACTTTTGCAGTTCAGGAAAAGTAGACTGCCTCGCGTACGCGTTGGATAGTTTTTCGAATACCAGCATGAGAAGCTAAAGGGCTGTCATGGAGCTCCTGCAGGATATTTAATCTAAGACTAGCTGGGATAACAGGTCGAAATTCGTTGTTGGAATTCGTAGTTTTTGTATAAAATAATAGACCATCTATTAGTTCGTAATGGGCCGCCCTATTTCTTATCGCCACAATATCTTGGTGGCTAAAATTTTCAGGATCCTTTAAATACTCATAAATGCTTCCAAACTCAGGATCCTTACCCAGTTCGGTTATTACAGTTTCTCGGGAATTTATTGTACATGCTGTGTGAGCATTGCCACCTTTACAGTATTACCTTCTTCATCTATTTTAATTCTGGATAGGGCATCTGCTACGATATTTTCCTTTCCGGGGGTATGCTTGATTACCAGATTATATTCTTGTAGCTTGAGTGCCCATCTTATTAACCTTGGGGATAAATTTTTCCCTGAGTACAATCTAGTTACCGCCGCATGATCAGAGTACACTGTTATTGGCGCCTTTCCAAAATAGACTCGGAACTTTTGCACTGCTAACAGAACTGCAAGTGCCTCTCTCTCGGTCGCGGAATAGTTTCTTTGTGTTTGATTTAAAGTTCGGCTAAAAAATGCCACGGGCTGCTGATTTTGCGAAAGTACCGCTCCTACCGCATAATCCGAAGCATCCGCTGAAATTTCTAAATTCTCATCCTTTTCAGGAAATTTCAACACAGGGGCTTGCGTTAATGCTTGTTTTAATTTTTCGAAAGCACTATTGGCTTCGGCCGTCCACGAGAATCTTGCCTTTTTCCTTTTTAATTTTAACAATGGTTCAGCAATAGCTGCAAAATCTTTTATAAAGGACCTATAATATGAACAAAGTCCTAGAAAAGAAGAGAGCTTCTTTGCCGTGTTTGGAGTCGGATACTTTTGTACAGCGATTATTTTTGATTCGTCTGTCTCGATTCCTTTTTGAGATATTTTGTAACCTAAATATTTTAATTCAGGGGCTGCAAATTTGCACTTTTCGACATTAACTTTTAGACCGGCCTCATTTAATAAAGAAAACACCTGTCTTAAATCCTGTACATGTTGGTCGAGATTATCACTAGTAATAATGATATCGTCTAAATAGATAAATGTGGACTTTCCAAGAACAGGTCTTAACACAATGTCCATACATCGCTGAAATGTTGCCGGGGCCCCTGAAAGGCCAAACGGCATACGCAAAAATGCATAAGTGCCAGACTTGGTTATAAAAGCAGTCTTAGGCACGTCCTCAGGCCTAACCCCTATTTGAAAATAACCAGTCGTTAAGTCTAAAGTCGTCATATATTTGGTTGATTTTATGTTCCTTAGAATTTCTTCTTCTATGATAGGTAACGGATATACCGGATATTTAGTTATGGAGTTTAATTTACGGTAATCAATAGCGAATCTCCACCTTTTTGGATGTGTCAAAGGATAGTCATTATTTTTCTTACATAAAACCACCGGGCTAGCATAACTACTTGAGATGGGCGTTATGATCTTTTTACGTAGCATATCGGTAATATGCCATTCTATAATTTTTTCCTTATTCTTATCATACCGGTATGGTTTTTTGGCGAACTGGCATTGAATCTCCGGTGTCAATACTATGGTTAGTAACCTGAGTAAATCCTGGAATATCACTAAATAACGAAGCAAATTCACTTACCACTTGTCGGACTCTTCCTTGCTCGTCATTAGGCAGGTGGTCAAGATTTAACATCGGCGGTTCAGCCTTTTCTTCACGAACTGGTTTCATTGTCAGCTTAAGGGACGCTTCATTAAAATCCAGCGTTGCTTGTGCCTCTGAAAGAAAATCTATTCCTAAGATTAATATGTGCTTGCAGATTCTTTACTATAAAAAACATCACCTTTACTTGTTCGTCCTTGATACGGATATACAAGCGGTACTTTACCTATACACTTACATTTTCTCCTTGCGCCGCTAACACTGTCGTATTATCCGAATTATATATGCGGTATTTGCGAAAATACTTCCTAAAAAAATCTTCTGCCACACAGGAACACTGCGCGCCTGTATCCAGGAGTGCGGTGGCTGGGATATTATTCACCAACACTTCAATCTTCGGAAGAGTCAAATTTTTCACCATTACTGTATTTAACTTGAAGGAAGAGGGGTTTTCGTGGCCTTCGGATTTCCGCACCCTCCTCGTCAGCAGAAATCCGTTTTAGTTTAAATTATTTTTCCTTTCCGTGCTTTCCTTCTTTTTTTTCCACTGGCCTTGAGACTTTTTTCCTGGGTTGCTATTGAACTGTCGACGTTCGCCGGCTGTTTTTGAATGCTCGGGTTTCCTTGCCCACTGATTCGCTTTGCTTTTCTCCGTAGCCGTGTGCTTGAGTTTGCTGTAGTCTTGGCGCACCAAATTGGTTTCGCTGTTGATATTGGCGTCTTCTTTCAACGTCCGCCGTTCTTCTACTTTCAAACTGGATTGCTAGCTCAAATAACTTTTCCAGTGTAGTCGGATTTCTTAATTCAATAAAGTCTTGCACTTGGGGCAGTAACCTCGGCAAAATCACTTGAATTATTTCAGGATCCGGACGGTTTCCATACAAGAGTTTGAAAACGTGAATTTTTCTTAAAATAAAGCTTCGAGAGGTTTTCGATTCTTTGTTGATATATACTGAAAAGTTCCGTTTCTAATTTCGCACGATCCCTTACAACAGGGAAGGCTTTTAGTAGGGCAGTCTTGAAATTTTCGTAAGTATAGGTGGGACTTCCTGCTTGACCCAAGAGACTTCTGCCTATACATTTGAACCAGTTAAGCGCTTGGCCCCTCAAAGCGCTGGTAGCTAAGGTAACTTTTTGAAACTCGTGCACGGGGTAGAGCATGAAGTGGTCATCCAATTTTTCCAAAAAACTGGTTACCGGTGAGTTTCCATTAAATGTTGCTTCTGGTTTCATCGAAGCGCGCATGGTCTGGACGATGTAACCAAATCCTTCCAGGGCGGCAGCTGGCATTTCTGGATTCTGAGCCGCTTCTGCAGGCAGCACAGGTTCTTCTTGAAACTCGGCCATGGTTATTCTTCTTCGTTGGGCGCCACTATCAGGTTCAATGTTCCTTCTTACCTTCTTCGGGAACATGCAAGGACCTGACTCGGAACAGAGAGCTTACTAAAGCTATGTTCAACTAATTGTGGGAAGTAGACAGGATACACAAGAAGGGTATACAAAACCCTTTATTTTTCTCTATTACAATAACTTCCGTACTTCGGAATACAACTGACCCACTACTTGTGGTCTAAACGTAAAAGTATAAAAATAAAACTAAACTCTAATTTAACTTTAGAATAATAAACGTGGAAGATTGGCCTTATATTAACAGGAAGCCGTATGTAGTACAGAGAACTGTGAACACTACAATACGTTTAAAATTTATCAAGAGGATTAAAACCTCTGGCCTGGAAGGCAACCAGCAACTGAGTAAAACTGCTAAGGTAAGCGGCCTTCTTCGACTAACTCCTTCCTCTCTCTCGCTTGGCAAAAAGCCACAACTTAAATACTTGGCGTTCGCCAGACAAACTTTGCATAAAAACCTTAACGCTTATAATTCTGGCCGGAAGTAGAAAATAAGAAGTGATAGTAAAGATTTAAAATAAAAATAAACGTTAGTAAAACTAGATACAAGTTAAAAACTGGTCCCCAATTTCATCAAAAAAAACGTTTTGTGGGTTGGTTGTTTTATGCGATTTTTTTATAATTTTAATTCAAATTTACTACTTTTTTCCGAGAATTGGGATGGACCTTCAAAATTTATTATACGGAATTTGATTCTTTTCTTTCTTTCTTTTTTTTTTAACTTATATACTCTCTGTATATATTATAGCCAGAATATGGCTCCAAAGAATTGGCCACTAGTCCGTATTGTGGCAGTGTGACAGCTCAAAAATATGTGGATGACATATTCCATCTGGTAACACTGCCATCCAGTAACATCTGTTCCTCAGGACACAATTCGCATGCTCTTTGCATCTGTACCTAGACATGTTTGTGCCTGTATTGTCATCATCTATGATCTTACAACTTACTAAGTATACTGTATAGTTGCTATTTTATAAGTGCATTGTCTTGTAATAAACATCACATTGCAGTGCTGCTCTTTTTACCGTTTTTCATCAATTTCTGTGTATGTGTTCATGGTGTTATATTCATTATCATACATATAATATATAATTTCTTGACAGTGAATTAAAAGAAAAAAGTATTGTTAGTTGAAATTTCATCTTGCACTTCTATGAAATATTAAGGTAAATCAACATGACATTGTTCAAAATTTGTAATGTGTGTATGATGTTCAACAACACATTTTTGGAAACTGATCTAAGGATTATCAAGGAAACCTGAATTTTTTATTATACTGTTATATATTTTAATATTACACAAATGACTGTCGGTTGTAAATTTCATGTTTGGAATGCGAGTTTCTCAGTCTTTCTTTTTAACTCCCTGATTATAATTGTGAATACCATTGTCTTCTAACTTACTATCAACAAAATTGTAACCCTGGAACTTATTTAGTAGTTTATGTTAAATAAGGAAATTGTTATTATACTTTGGAAAAGTTTTTTTATGATTTTTTTTTTCTGAAATTGGAAATATGTATGATTATTATAATTTTCAAAGTTGTTAACTTGTTTGTATTCTAAGTTAATTATATATATATATATATATTTTAAAGGGTTGATCGTGATAGAAGTGGTTCTATAACAGTCAATGAATTACAAATGGCTCTTTCTAATGGTAATAAACTTATAAAGCATTTTTTAATTTTAAAATGTTTTAAAATTTCTGAAAATTATATGTAGCTTTGTTTCTGTCTAGGTACATGGCAGCCATTTAATCCTGAAACTGTTCGAATGATGATTAGTAAGGATTTTTTTTTTTTTTTTTTTTTTTTCTTTTTTCTTCTTCTTTATCATTATTATTTTGTTATGTTATCTGATTGTAGTACTAATCAATCCATCCAGCATAATACAGACATCCTTTAAAATAATTTTGGAGTTTTGATTTCACTCAAAAAGTGGAAAATGCTACTGCTTACAAAATAGTATTTTTCTTAAACACTGATTGATTGATTGATTGAAACTTGATTCAGTTATGTCTGTAGCTACAACAATGATAAATTTAGATGGATAATATGTAGCTATTAAAATTTTTTAATTCTATAATAAGTCATAATGATCTGCTGTTTCAGCAAGCCAGATAAAAAGAGAAACTTGCATTTTTAATGTATGATCACAATTTTTATTGAAGCAGAATGATATCTAAATATTGCTTTTTAATAAATAGGAAACTTTCTAATAAAAGAACCTTTTTTTAAGATAGGAATCAGTATTAATGTAATATTAAAAATTCCAAGATAACTGTAGTTAAAATCAATTGTTTCAAAGTAATAAACATGCAGTAAAAGTGTTAATTTATTCACAGAGCAGTGATTATAAATTTCCAGAAAGTAAATAAACTCATCAGCACTCCAGTTTGCAGAGTAAAATATAAACAGACTTAACAATTTTCAGCCTTCTATTTATATGAAAAACCAAGATAATGTACCTTCTAAGAACTTTTAGAATTTCTCCATGCTGGTAAGAACTTGCCAGATATTGTCAATTTATGATAGAAATCTGTGCTAAGGCTTGGTAGTATCATTAGTGAATATCTATTAGTGTGCAATAAAATGCAAACAAATCAATCCAGTATTTATGTAAATTATAGCAACAGAAATATGCTAAACGATACTAAAACAAGATGAACCATTGGATTTGTTATGACAAATAACTAATAAATTAGCTTTACTATAAACAGTTTTAATGGTATTTATTTTTAATATGTATTTCTATTTGCTTTGTGAGTGAGAAAAGAAATATTATTGTATAAGTCTAAACTCTTGAGATCTAAAAGTAAAAAGAAAAGGAAGAAAAAAAAAAAAAAGTTTCACTGAGAAAGGGGCTATCTGATTGTAATGAAATTTCATTACAGCAAATAGCTTTTGAACCAACATGCAATTGATTAAATTTTGGCTACCAGTGAATAGACAGAGCAACAAAGCATTACAAATGAGCATACATATGGCATATAACAGAGGAGAAATTTCAAATCTAAAGCATAACTTCCATTCAAATATGATTCTGTCTATTTACTTTGATGGTACCAGTGCCTTATAAACAGGTTCATGTGCAAAGTAAGCACATGTCACTGGTTCAAAGAGCACCAGCAATTAATCTAAAAAAAAAGAAAAGTGGTGAAATCAAAGGATTCTTTAACATATCACTTGAAGCAGTGATGCCATTTAGCAGTATTGACATAAATAATAAAACTATGGCAAAGTGCAGTGTCAATAGGGCAGCAGTTGGTCTAAAAAGATGACAGAATGTAAGGATGAGGATTGTCAGAGAGCTTCTTGCAGTACCTGGTTTATCATTATTAAAAATCCAGCACAAAACCAGAGCATCAGTGACCATTAGGATCATTGACTGCTCTCACAACATTTACTGTGTTGAATGTACCTCACTTGTGCATGGCAACAATCATGTTTGACCTGGAATTTCAGTGACTGGAGTAGAATTATCTTCAGTGCTTTGTCCTCCTTTGAACTGAGTCAGGATGGTAGTGTGGTTTGGTGTATTTAATTACGGCAAAGCACACTAGGGCTATCTGCCTAAGGGGAGGGATGCCTTTGTGAAGGACTTTCTAAGGAAAACTGGCTCGTATACACGTTACACATGGGGAAAACCATGCAAACACCCATGCAGCCAGCCCGTTTGCGAGATTCAAACCTCGGACCGAACTACCAGAGTTCAGCGGCTTTACCGCTCGGCCACTAGTGGGTCTGAGTCAGGATGACCAGTGAACGTGTGTCTGGAGGCATCCTGAACGGTGGTATGATACTGACTTGCTGCCACATGTTTCATAGCATGGCAGCAGGGAGTTGTGGTCTGGAGAGCCATTTCATTCGTAGTCAAACCATTTTGGCTGTTATCCATGATATCTTTACAGTTCAGCAGTACAGAGACAATATTCAACACCCTAGGATGTTCAGGGTTCGTACGGTCCTTAAAAGTTCTTAAATTTTTTAAATCGATTTTTGGTCCTTAAAATTCCTTAGTTTTGGCCAAAATCAGTAGTAGGTCCTTAATTTTAATCGTCTGAAATTTCTGTGTGTTTTTACGACTGCCATTTTGAGTGTGAATTAGCATTCTGGAGGCATATTTTTGGCGATTCACTGACGTATATGGTTATCTTTTGAATGGGTTCATGGGTTATAATTTGTGTCTATTTCTAATATAAATGATGGGATACTCGAGTTTCTAAGCAAGAAGTGAAACATAAGCATTTCAAAATTCATTTTTTCTAATAAAGAGCTCTTAAACAACTTTTCGCTTTTGGGGTTGTGAATTCTTTTATTAAACGGTTCTAAATTTGACGACTTGTCAACATTTTGGCGATTTTATGATCAGTTTCTATAGAAATTTTTTGATTCTGAGATCTGAGAATTTTTCGGTGATTTTTTTAAAACATCATAACATTGATAAATTTCATTAAATAATGGCAATATATTGGAATTATATTTAAAAAATAACATTAAAATAAAACATTTTTATTTTTCGCTCTCATATTATAAAGTTTAATTTGGCAACTTAATATACAATATTTTGAATCTGAAAAATAAACAAGGTATAATGCTATAAAGCATAATTTACGAAACAGCTCTTAGTAAAAGCAAAATTAGCTATGTAATTAATTAAAAATGTGTTCTTTTTAATTTTTTCATAGTAAGCGTTTTTCCCATGTAATTGTCTCAGATTATTCAAAATTCTCAGAATATGCATCAGTTTTCTCTATAAAATTAATTTTACACTTTTTCCTTCCCCCCCCCTTTTTTTTTTTTTTCCCCAAAATATTTCTGGCTTTTTGCTGTTACAGAATTGGTCATTATTTATTGTCATTGCAGCATGGAAAGTTTAGAAGGATTTGCAGGCAAGATTTATAGACCCACGATTCTAGAAGATTCAAGAAATATGTGACAAAATGAAAAATGTCTCCATGGTATCAGCACATAATGGACGTATTTTACAGAAAGTTGCGATGAATTTCTTACTTTTTTGAGAACGTCTGGAAGAACAATAGAAACATAATATTTGAATGTTTTACTCCTGATACTACTTATAGAATCTTTTTCTTAACCTGTTTATCTTCCCTTTATTTCTCTACTTTTCACTAGACACAAGCATGGAAAATATCAAAAATGCTTCTAATCCTATCACTTGGGCAGGCTTTATGGAAAGAGATTTTTTTATTAATAAAGAAATTGAAAACTAAATTTAAAAGATTCATCTAATATGTCTTAGTAAATCATATACATAGTTGGGACTAGGCATTTTCCCACCTGATGCAGTCTCTGTGGATCCTAAATTCTGCTGCCTTGTGCCTTTCTAAATTCTGCTTCCAATACTTGCTCTAAATTCTAAAAGTTTTGCCATATCTAGATTTTGTTGTTCGGTGTGTGACTAAATTCTAAAAATTCTGCCACATCAGCTCTGTAACCAGCCTTTACCATATATATATTTCATATTTCTTCTGAATGTTCATATTACTAAAGAAATAAAATTAGCTGCTTTTTTTTTTTTTTTTTTTTTTTTTTTTTTGTGCATTCTAAATGCATTTAGTGTTTTTTAGAGTAACAGAAATCCTTAATTAAATCCAAAAATTCTAAAATTAAAAGGAAACATGTTGAATAAAGAAACCGAATACATAAAGAAAATTATTCTTCAAAGATATGTGCAGTTATTATTATGTAAATTACCCAATTGTTTATGATTTCAGCCTGTACTATAACTTCCCATTTCTGTTTCCTCCTATGGTAGAGTTACTGAGACAAATTAAATTTGAATTAAATTATATAATCTTTGACCACTAAGAATATGGATTATATTCTTAGTTTGAATTTAACTGTTCTTGTTTAATTACGTCACTGTGAGCTGTAATTGACTTTGTTAGCATCAGAACATGCTTTTATGCTCTAAGTTCTTTTAAATAAGAGGCTTATTTAAACCTTTGTCTGATATTATAGTTACTTTCAGACACAGTGATAATTTGCTTCACATCTATCGGGGGTTTGGGACTATTTAACTTTCACCAGATCAAGTAAACTCTCATATGTACATTGTGGAGAGTTTGACAAGTTAGGAGATAAAGCACGCAGAAACTAGCGAGAACATTGGTTGGTTTGCATATTGAGACAAATTTCTAATTATTGTTAGAGAGGATGCTTATAGAGAAGGAAATCGATATAAACTAGCCAAAATGATTGCGAAGACTTGTGGAGACATTAAGTATTTTTGAAAACAGGAAAGATAAAAAATTAACAATGCCTTCACTGGGAATCGAACAATGGACCTCTGGAATACCGGCCCAGTGTAGTTTGTAGATTTTAATGCGTAAATTATCCTAATATGGTTTAAAAATCAATGTCATAAATTACATGTATTTTAAACTGTGAAATTTTAGATATTGATTTTAATAAGCTTTTTTTAACAAATATTGTTAAAAAATAAAATTTAATAGTGGCTATGTAAATCCATAATAACTAAGGTTATCTAATTACCTAATTTAATTATTTTTAACTAACTACTTACCCTTAAAAATTATCTCTACATATTAAAGCGAGTTATTGCCTTTCATTAATACTCACTGTAGTCACAAAATAAAACACAAAAATGTAAAAATTCAAGTAAAACTTATTCTTTGCATCTACTGAGACTTAAAATAATACAGGGTGTCTCATAGATCATGGGACAAACTTGAAGGGGTGGTGGAGCATACTAAAACATGCATTTTTTTATAGGAATTTAGGGTCTAAAGTGACGGGT